AAGATTCCACACTAACAAGATGACATGGAGCAACTGGATGTTTACACTACAATAGGGGTAGCAAGAGGACAGGGATAATGACGCACCGTGTATGACTTCGCGTCCCTCGTCGTTCCGTGGCAATCGGCGCTGTTTTGAATTCGGAGGGGTCATACGTGTCGCGTGCAGATGAGTCACACGTTCCTTAGGGTAGATAGGCGACGTGCGTGCTATCGGTCCGGCCGGTAAGTGGATAGGCAGCGATGCAGCGTAGGATTGAGGCAAAGCAAGATGACTTGAAAAATACTGCCTAATGACGACAGTGGCTGCTCCAGGGGCAGACCAAATTGACAACTATCGCTTTGTACATCGACTAGAAGGAATGGTAGTAAGATATTTAGAAGACTCTCTAAAAGATCTTTGAAATAAGACCACAATTGATCTTGTGCGACGAGAGGAAAAATAAATTCTCCGATAAACTTCAAGCACGGTTAACTTCGAAATTGCAAAAGCACAGTTTGATGGTGATCCGCGAATGACAGATGCAAAAGATGAGCAGTGGTAGGAGGCGCTCACTGAGCCAAATCGAATGATAGTACGTAGGTCACGGTGAGAATATATCGGAAGATTTAAAAGCGAGTAAGCAGGTGGAGACTTAGTTTGCGACCGCTCGGTAGACACACGCATCCAGCTAGGGAGGAGGTAAAGTTAGGCGGAGGCATACACGGCGGTGCGGAAGGTGAAACGAATTTTCCAGGCAACTTTAGCGTCGATTCACATTGTAAGTCAGCTTTAATACTGCTACCAATACCTAGGAGTACAAACAAAACGTTTTCGCTCTAGCCAGGATCTGAGGAGGCGCAGAGTGGGGCTTTGGACTGTCTATTTAAGCGTTCGACCAAACCGTTGGCTGCTGGGTGCTACGCGGTGCAGTGAGTACGACAGCATTTTAAGAATTTGCGGAACGTGACGAATTGCGAATGTTCCTTAGGGTGTTCCACGGTCGGTTGTGATGGTGGATGGGCATCCGTAATGTGAGAACCACCGATCTATGAAGGTCCGGATAACGATCTCATCTGTGCAGTCTGTTTCGGGAATGGCTTCTGGCCGTCTGGTGTAGCGGTCGACACATATAAGTATGTATGCGAATCCACGTGAAGGAGGCAAAGGGACGTACTAGCTCTAGGTGCACATGCGAGGCCGAGAGTCCGGGGAGGGAAATGAACAAGAGGACTACGGGGTGACGATGTACTTTGGAACGTTGACATTGGTGTGCGCTGGAACGGGTGCTAACATCTTTGTTTACGCGTGGCCAAACGAAACGTTCGGTGACCAGTTTCAAAGATGTACCGACACCGAAATGTGATGATAGTGAGTGGAGTGCGTCGAAGACTGTACGTCTGAAACGGACGGGTATGTGGAATCTAGGACAACCTGTGGAAGTGTCACAGAGGATGGTTCCTTCCGTGGTTTGGAGAGGAACAGGTTGCACATGCAGTGAGGTGGACTACAGGGTGCGTTTTATGTCTTCATCTTTACTCACAGTCTGTGTGTAATTGTCTCTGGGCAACAGTGCCTGTTCGTCACGCAAAATATGTCATCCACATATCGTCCGTAATATGGTAGACTGGTAATGACTCCGCTCAGATAGGTATTCTCTAATTTGCTCATTAACACATCCGCCAGTAGCGGTCCAAGTGGTGAGCCCCTTGCTACTCCATCTCTTTGTCTGTATATGGCCCCGTTAAACTGAAATTGTATGTTACTAGTACACAGCAGAGAAAGGCGTACACTTGGGTGATAGATGCGATATTGGTGTTGATGCCACGTATACTGAGAATCTTTGCTGTGTCGATTATCTTCTGGCGTTTCACATCGACCAAGCGGTCGGAATACCTGAGAAAGTCAATACTTATGGCAAAGGGAGCTTCAGCAACGGTGTATACTCAGCGGAACGTGCGCCGAAGCCCTAGGTCTAGAGTAAGCGACCGATGACCGCAGATGGCTATTAGTGCGTCAATGGGGACACTTAGACTTGTCAGCAGTTGCTGTGAGTGGCAGATCATTTGCTACTGCAAAGATGGTCTGAGTGCTTTCAGGCGGGAGTTGCGGCCACAGTTCGCAGAGAATCCCAACGGCCATGTTGGACGTGCTAATAAGCTATTGTTTTTCGTGCAACAAGGCTGAGAACACCCTATCTCCGAGTTGCAGATCACTAAATAGTTGATGCAGGCGGACCTTATCAGTAGGTATGATTCGCTGAATAATTGCCTGTTTAGGATTCTCGTATCTTATTACATGAGGGGGACAATATATGACGTCTCACACCTGCGAGGATACACTCTGTGGAAGCCGATATTAAATGTTTGTACATAGCGAAGTCTGAAGAAATCCTTCGACTATAAAGAAATAGATTTGAAGTACAAGAATCATAACGAAGCATCACTCTCCCGAAATAGTGGAGGGGCTAACGCCACGACACTGACCATGACTGCCTCTACGACGCTAACCACGTACGGAGAACGATTATCATTCATTACATTGCACAATGCGAATAAAAGAGGCGGTAGGTGAGCAAATAAATGCATCACAAATAATGAATCACGAAGTAACTGGAACGAGCTCACCAGATTGCAAATTCAAAGTGGCGGGCGGCGTGTTTCCGGCCGGGATCACCAACTGTTGGATGGCGCCTGGGATACTACTCAGTAAAAGTAACACACAAGAGACTTGTCAAATATGGGACAGTTGAAAAGTTTGAGGCAGCTGGACCCAACATGTATGTTGCAGGCTACAAGAATAGGAACCGAATCAACAAGGGCAAAGAACGGTATAGCACGGGACTCAAGAAAGCAGTTTGTAAAAATGGCTGTGCAGTCAGTGAAACAACTGAACGTTTGGAAGCTTCAAACAACAAAATATCCAATGTTGTAAAATACTGAGGGAGTAAGTTTTCGCGTACACTACAATGGACGGGATGAGGCTTACGAAGGTGTGGCGGGCTGTTTTTATCCGACCAGTCTGAGTAGAGTCGGCGGGCAGATCCGGGGCCGAGAATGAACACCAAATCAACCCCGCATCAATCATTGACAGGGCTTAGGCGTGTGACCTTGTAACGCGAACCACTCGGGATCGTTTGTCGCACCAATTAAAGTGGCAGTGTTAACTGTATCGCAATCATCCTTCTACCTACATCCCAATCGTCGCGATTATTCTGCCAGTTCCTATAAGTGCAATGCCAATCAACCACTGGCTTGCTCGACTTATCGAAGCTTTTGTGTCAAACACGAAACATTTCACCCTATCGAGGCTCATGCGTGATACGCATTCCCTCAGACCCATACTGGGGATTGAACTCAAGACAGCTAGAGGCTGACACCAATTAGCCACCAGGTTAAGCCACTGAGCCATGGGGGACGATGGTTGGGCTACATAATTTGCAAACTAACTGGGATATGGCACGACCCATCTTTCGTTGTCACGCAGGTTACTACCTTTGCAGCAATGCCTGTGGAAGTCAATGTTGTTGATGGCTAAGGGAACTGCAGCAACGTTGAATACCCAGCGGAACATACGCCGAAGACATAGGTCAAGGCTAAACGACCGATGATCGCACATGGCTATTGGTGTAACACTGACGACACTTAGACTTGTCAAAAAGAAGCGGTAGTCTCATCTGACTTAGGGGGATGACGCTGACTTCCTTCCCGCTGACTCCCTTCCCCTTCTCGGAATCATAATCATCTGCAATGGTAGTAACCTGCATGACAGTGCATGCTTGATCCTGCTATGTCCAAGTTAGTTTGCAAATTATGTAGCCCAACCACTATCCCCCATGATTCAAAAGCAAAACGTTCCCCCCAAACTATACCAACCGGATGTTTTGGAACGATACTAAAGTCTTGAGTTTTCGTCCGTTTCAATTACTCATCCACGTGTGTGTCCTTTAAATGGGATTGTTATTTTTCTAGGACTTTAGATTTGCAAAGGCTTGAAAACAACCGTTTTGAATAGATGGTGTGTGGCGTTTCGTTTTTTTAACGCAAGTATTACACTAGTCCAAGTTAACCAGAGAATTTTTGTTCTTGCTTTTATACCAAAATTGTAAGATAATCGCGGAAACCGCAACTTATGTAGAATGACAATAACTTTACAGGTTACTGTCATCAGAAGTACCACATTGCGGACGGAAAATCCAAAGGGGTTCACCGTACGATATCATCAAACGTCGGCCGCTTTCATTGATGGGAATGGGGGTGGATTATTGTCTGCTATGTCTCCCTGATGCGACCAACGGCACTACTCAAACTGACCGTCTTAAGACAACCCGCCACACATTCGATAGCTCCACTTCCCATCCATTCTGTTTACACAACTGTCAGGTTCGCATGTTTTGCCCGTCTGTTCCATTATGCATTTAATTTATCTTGTTTACTGCCCGTATTTCCTTTCTGGTGACAGTGCGCGTGCTCAGTTTTTGTTTTGCATTTTACTTTTAGTTATGGTTTTCTTGTCTGTTTTTTCATCATTTTACACCAAGTTTTTGTACCGAGTATAAGTGAAGCAGACGCTAGCCAATGTTGATGATAGTCGATGATAGTTTGGAAGCACTTATTATTATTATTCTAGGTAGAAATGCATCACATCTAGGCTCACTCAGACAGCCGTCACACGCCCGGAAAAGCACTGTACGCACGTTTCATCCTTTCGAGAATCGTCAGCAGTGCGCATTCTATCGGGCCTGATAGGGCTCGAACCCGCAACTCGACTGTTGCCAGTCCGTGGTTGAGACCACTGAGCTACGGGGGACGCACTGCTGACGATTCCCGAAAGCATGAAACGCGCGCACAGGGCTTTTCCGGACGTATGACGGCTGTCTGAGTGAGCCTAGATGTGATGTATTTCTACATATGACATTCAACTCCCCCTACTACTCTTCTATTATTATTTTGTTATTGCTCATAAAATCGCCACTAGTTTTTTTCTCTTAGCTCTTGTTCCTATATTTACTGTTTTGGCAGTGGATTAAACAAAGTGGATGCTGACCGCTGTCTGTTGGATGCGGCACGAAAGATGGAACTCTACGGTGTTCGCCTTCACCCGGTCATGGTGAGTGATGTTAGGATCTAAGAACGATTGCACTTGTTATTGTAATGCGAACCACTAAATGCAAATCTTTTCAGGCCAATAGAAATGAATTACACAGAAACAGTTGACGTCCATTAGTGCACCGAGAATTTTCCCCGTCAAACATGTAGTACGCTACTAATGGGTGGCATGTAGAGCATGGGCACGTGTCATGGAATCGGGGAACTCATGGATCAATACGGATGCAGTGCGCGGAGTGCAAATCTAAACATCACCGATATGTTTTGGAAGAAGACACGCAGTAGACCGAGGGGACAAAACAGCGCCATGGCTGAGACCTATAAATGAGCACGATAATAACATGTCGTCTGCGCCGTATATACTCGCATTTTTGGAGTGCAAAGCCGTCTTCTGCTGTTTTCGGTTCTCAGCGTTTGTTGCCTTATCCAGTTCGAAGAGAATAATGAAGATACTATAGCCAGAGCCGTTTGAGTAACAGGGTTCACAAGACTCCGTGAAAAACAACGAAGTTGTTGCAGTGGTTGTATGAGTGTATAGGCTAGCGGAGATGCTTGTGACTAAGCAGAATATCCCCAAAGGCATGGAGAAGCCTGGCCTTGAAGCGAAAAAGGTGGCGGCCTTAAGTCGGAATGAGTCACCATGGAAGATCAGGCATACCAGTCGTACAGCAGGCTGTGATGCGGAGCATCAAGGCGACTTGGTACAGAGGCGGATACTCTCCTTTTCGCGAAATGTTTCTTGGATTTGCGAACCACGCACTTCTCAGATTTGACGAAGTGTCAAGACAACAGCTATTTTTATCAGTTTCTGGATCGTCTCTGTTGTGTATTCTTCTCACACGCTCAGGCACGTCTTGATACTTACACACGACATTGGCATACGTAAGCACAACGCACACGCATAAAAGACCAGCTAGCCCTTTTCGTCCCTATACCTATGGAAGTTAAGTAGACATGATAGTAATTAAGTCCTACTTCGCACACAGCGGTTCTTTACTTGCGTATACAAAACTGGTGTCGCAGTCTACAAACCTGCTCCATGGAAGTATAGTTACAGCCTCCTACAGCTTACTGGCGTTATCTGACGGTGCGCCCTATTGAGAGTGCGTGGATCCAGTGGAAGATAACCTTTTTTAGCAATTTGGAGTTGCCTGCGGCTTTTAACTATAAGCACGCATGAAATTGAATCTTTCCAGACACCGGCTCGGTGACAAGGGGCAAAGCCAGTTTGGTACTTTAAAACTCAAGATACTTTGACGAAAGCGTTGCAGGTGTTGGATTATCCATATGGTCAACGTAGAAATGTTTTTACAGTTTGATTCACATTTGATCGGCTTACACAAGAAAGGCTTCTTTAACCACCACATAACGGCGTACATCTCCATAATTACTCCTCCGAACCAAAAAAAACAAAAAGCGGTCAACCTGCTGCGACAGATTTGTGGAATGACAAACAGTCTGATTGGGGAGTTTCTGCGAAACTCATGGCTAATTTGGTCAAGTGTCTTGCTATAGAATATTATCGTCATCGTCATCAACAGCAATACATCAGCCATTTGATCTGGTGCTTCGCTTCAATACAACCATGATGACCTACGGAACGAAGAATAATATGAAGGGAAGAAGGGGACTTAACGAAATCCATAATGCCCTATCCAAAATATCATGGTCAAGGCACCACCGCTTTAGCAACAGCATACCGTCACAAACAGCTGGCTATCTTGCAAACACAAGGAGACATCGGCACGACAGCTTTCTTGCGACTTTCACTGTCACGCGTCGTAATCAGCCCTTACCCCGCAGATAACTCAGCACCAAACACACTTTAAACAGGCAGTCCGATTAGGAGACAGCAGCAGACGCGCCACTGGTGTTGACTTCGAGCCATGCCCTCTAAAGTCTCTAGCCAAGCACAAGGCGGGTCAAGTAGAACCGCCCGGAAGGCGAGACGGACCGACCACACTCAGTTTGCTCGTCAGTGACTACATATCATGTTGCCAACTCAACTTTTATCCACCTCTAGCCTTGCGCCACCCTACTTCTGGCAGACTGAACAAGACCATCCTAGATAAGCGGTGACCAAGCATACGTAGTACGTGCCCAAACCATCGCAACTTATTCAGTGTTATCTGTTGTCCTAAGGAACTAGATTTGTTATCACTGCCTAGTACTCGCCTACGCACACTGGTGCCACCCGACACCAGCAATGGTCCACAGACAGCGATGATCAAAGACTTGAAAGCGTCTCCGATCCTCAAATCGAAGGGACCAGTTTTCACTACCATAGAGCAAGACGGCTCTCACTGTGACCTTGTAAACATGGCCTCTCAGAAGGACCTAAACTCCTTTCTGTGGCCAAAAATGTCGCCGATGCAAGAAGACAATTCTGATTTTTACAGTGCGTGAATTGACTTCACTTTCTCTACGCCTATCATTGCTGATGCAGCTGCCTAATTAAGTGGATCGATCAACTACTTCAAGTTCCTCTTTTTCAAGGGTCAACGAGTCATCAAGTAGCTGGTGGTTCAGCAGCAACACTTTGAAGGTGCGAAACGCTTACCAAATAATGGGATCGCTCTAGACTAGAAATGCAGGGTTAACCGTGTCGCCCCAACATCGTTAAACAGCAAGACAGTATCATCCGCATAATCAAGATCAACTAACCTTTCACCAAGCAGGACTTCAGCGCCAGCATCCTGAAGCTCAGTAAAGGAACACTGCATGATGGAATCCATGAAAAAATTTTAAAAAATGGGGAAATCGGACAATCCTAACGAAGGGTACTTGTTGTCGGAAAGCTCTACGACAGCTTAGCCTATACCCTGACGTGGCCTGTAGTGTTCGAGTATAGAGTATGCAAAATGTTCACACATTTATGAGAACACCTTCTCGCGCAAGCATTTTGGACAGAATGGATCGATCGACTGAATCGAACGCATTCATTAAATGGAGGAACGCAGCTATTGTCGGTCTGCGGTACATGTTGCGCTGCTCTAGCACCTGTCGCCTAGTCCGCGGCGGGAACCTGGCTGCTCTTTCCTAATCCGAGGTTCCCTTTCCGCAGTGAGGCGACGAATGAGAATCGAGGCCACTGATTGTGTCATAATTGGCGTTAGGCTAATACCCTTGTGGTTAGCACAGTCAGTGCGACTGTGCTTCTTGTCTATTACCATTATAATCGATCCACTCCAGGTATCCGGGACTTTCTCTCCCTTCCAGACATGTTCGAACAGGAAGGTCAGTGCTTTGCATGGGACCTCATTTCCGTCATTTAATAGTGCAGGTGGGAGGAATCCAGGCCAGCAGCACGAAAACGATTGAGGGCTGCGATCGTGTTTCGTAACTCATCCTCCGATGGAGCCTCTAAACTAACCACCCATGGCTCAGCCTGCATTAGTTGAGTAAGAAGAGTTCCGGAAGCAGGCGACCAACTGAACTGAGCTTGAAAGTGTTCCGCCCAACGAGCCATACGGAGCTCTCTACGTTGTATCAGTGCTCCTGTGATGTCTCTGATTGTCTCATCGACGCCTACTTTCCTGGGACCAGTGGTGCGGATCAGCTGGAAGGGCTTGCGATGAATCCCTGCTGCTCCTGTCTCCTCCATTTCTTGAGCCCCACTGATCCACCAGGCTATCTTGTCAGCACGCACGCTCCTCTTTATTTAGCGCTTAATAGTCCGTCTGGTCACATTGTGCTCAGAGCCAGCCGGGTTTTCCCCTGCATTCCTGTATCGTGCATGGCGGCTGAGATTCTATTCCACTGAAGCTCAGGGTCATTAAGGCAAGGGAGCATAAATTCGGTACGCAGTGCATCCTGGTGGTCTTGCCTGACTGAGGGCTGAGATAATTTCTCATTTGCCAATCGGGGAAGACGCTTGGTGCGCCTCCTGGTAAAGCTCATGGAAAACCGACAGCGTACCAAGGCATGATCAGAGTCGACGCAGGTATTCCAGAATGAGCGGCAATCCAGGATGGAACCACGCCACCTGTAGCTTATGGCAATGTTATCAAGTTGATCCATCGCTGGTCAGCTGCAGAAGGATGCCAAATGGCACTTCGGCACCCACTGTGTCTAAAAGTAATGCTACTAAGAAGCAACTGGTGCACCGCACACAGTTGCAACAAACGCTATCCGTTGTCAGTCCGTTCGGAGTTGATCCCATAATTACCACCTTGCTGAGCTTATGATGAGCTCAGACGCCCTACTTGTGCATTCATATCCCCTGCAAGTACTATGATATCTGAACTAGTAGCACTACGTAATAGCATGTTTAGTTCGTGATAGAATGCGTCCTTGGCAGCATCAGAACTGCAGTCGGTGGGATCATAAGCGGAAGCCACAAACAGCGCTTTGTACTACTTCGTGTATCAGCCATACTTGATGTCAAACGGACTGCACACAAGCGGCTGTTCAACTGAATCCAATCAACCAAGGATGACGCAGCCTTGGAGCTGAGAATAATGCCCACTCCAGTCTTGTTGTCATAGAATTGTAATACGCACACTGTGATAAGCCCGTTGTTGTCGTTCAGGGCACATTTCTCAATTATTTCTTACCGATTCTTATGCGAACTTGCCCGGAAAGTATACTGAAAGGTTATTTTCTATTCATAATAACAGTACCGTTTCTTATTGTTGTTCTCCTTCTACCGAACCTAAACTCCCAAGACCTGGTAATCGTAATGTAACAGTTGGTGTACACGCTAGGTCAACCCATGTTGACATAAAACTTGACGCTGCGTCTCCTATTACGATAGTTCCAGGTCTATTTTATGACAGCCATCTACATGACATGCCCCTTCATCCACTAGCCTCCCAGTCTGACATTTATACAATGTTCCCTATAGAAATACAAAGATTTGTTGTGGTTATCCTGCAATTTAAGGACAGTGAAGCATCAGTTGCTGCAAACAACTGTTGGTGCAAACAACCGCCTATTGCTTGAACGAAATGCTATGGTGGCACTGTGAGTTACGCCGTCCCTATCTCATATGCATTTTAT